CACATAATAATGGTATTAGGCCAACAATAGACCTTCGCTACACATGTCCATGCGTGGACATTTTTGGCGTGTTTTGTGTATGTGTCAGTGTGTGTGTGTGTGTGTGTGTGTGTGTGTGTATGTCAGTGTGTGTGTGTGTGTGTGTCAGTGTGTGTGTGTGTGTTTGTGTGTTTGATTGTGCGTGTTAGGGTGTTTCGCGGAATATTTGTAGTCAGCTATTTTATAAGGTCTAAGCAATAAGCACCATAAGGTATAAGCTTAGCAATAAGCAACATAATCACTGATTTCTGTGATGTAAGTTGTACAATTGTGCCTACAGCAGCAGCAGCATGCAGGTTGATGGGTGCCGCGTGACGTGCCGAGCTGCTGCAGTCGGCGTCCTCGGTCTCCTGTGGGTCGTCACGGCTGTCTTCACCTGCCCGGAGAAATGTACTTGTAACTCTGTCGGGTCGGTTGACTGTAACGGACGGGGGCTCAAAGACGTTCCCGCCAACATACCATTGAATACAACTAAACTCGTCCTGAGGTCCAACAGCATACAGAATCTGTCTGATGCTGATTTCTCCAACCTCACCAGCCTGGAGGAGCTTTATCTGGACTACAACGACATCCGAGTTCTCCCTGCCCGAGTTTTCTTACATCTCACCCGTCTGAAGAAGCTGTATCTATCTGATAATCATATAACTGATCTCCCGGATGGAGTATTCTCACATCTGACCAGTTTAAAAAGGCTTTACCTGCGCAACAATAACATCTCCCGTCTCCCCGCTGTAGTTTTCTCACATCTCACCCGTCTGGAGCGGCTGTATCTACCTGATAATCATATAGCTGATCTGCCGGATGGAGTTTTCTCAAATCTGAACATCTTGGAATGGCTTTACCTGCGCAACAATAACATCACAAGTCTCCCCGCTGGAGTTTTCTCACATCTCACCATGCTGGATAGGCTTGATCTGGGCAACAACGACATCCGGGTTCTCCCTGCCGGAGTTTTCTCACGCCTCCCCCGTCTGACGGTGCTGTCTCTATCTGATAATCATATAGCTGATCTCAGGGATGGAGTATTCTCAAATCTGACCAGTTTAGAAAGGCTTAATCTGCGCAACAATAACATCACGAGTCTCCCCGCTGGAGTTTTCTCACATCTCACCATGCTGGATAGCCTTGATCTAGGCAACAACGACATCCGGGTTCTCCCAGCCGGAGTTGTCTTACATCTCACCATGCTGGATAGCCTTGATCTGGACGGCAACGACATCCGAGTTCTCCCTGCCGGAGTTTTCTCACATCTCACCCGTCTGAAGGCGCTGTCTCTATCTGATAATCATATAGCTGATCTCCCGGATGGAGTATTCTCAAATCTGACCAGTCTGGAAGTGCTGTACCTGCACAACAATAACATCTCGCGTCTCCCCGCTGGAGTTTTCTCACATCTCACCCGTCTGTGGCGGTTGTATCTATCTGATAATCATATAGCTGATCTCCCGGATGGAGTTTTCTCACATCTCACCCGTCTAATGGAGCTGGATCTATCTGATAATCATATAACTGATCTCCCGGATGGAGTTTTCTCACACCTCCCCCGTCTGAAGGTGCTGTATCTATCTGATAATCATATAGCTGATCTCCCGGATGGAGTATTCTCAAATCTGACCCGTTTGTACAAGCTTCACCTGTCCAACAATAACATCTCGAGTCTTCCTGCAGACATAAAACATCTTTCTACCCTGAAAACCCTTGCCATAACTGGAAATCCCTGGAGGTGTGACTGTAGTTTACAGGATATAATGACTTCGCAACGTGTGCGCCATTCAATTAGCGATAACCCTACCTGCAGCTCCCCTCTCCACATGAAAGGCGACTCGCTGCATGGGGCACAAAAGATCTGTAGCCATCGCGGGGTCTGCACCACGGGAGGTACAGACGGCATTTGTGCTTGTGACGTCGGCTGGACTGGCCCATACTGTGGAGAAGGTAAGATGTATGTTTACATTCTTTAAACGGTTTTAACAAGGCATAACGAGCTACGACTTTTTACAAACAAGGGAAGGCTGTAGAAAGTAGAAAATTAAACCTAATTGGTTGAACCAAAGTACCTAAAGATGAAAACGTTTTAATTTGATATATTAACCCTACCTAGACCGGGCTTTCTTAGGCTTGCTGGAACGGGGTGGCGGGGAGGGGCTCATTTGACCCTCCCTCAGAACTCGCGAACCCACCAAATTTTCAGAGTATGGTGAACTAGTAAAAATTTATCATATCTGCAATTTTCATGTCGTAACGACGTAATATGACGTCATTATGACATCATTAATGTGATTTTATTGGCCAAAACCGTCTAGATAGGTTATTCCCTAAAAACTAAATGGTATACAACATAACTTTACCAAAAGTGTTTATGACAGAATAGTAGGGTGTACTAAGTCTTATGTCGCCCATAGCAACAACGGTGACGTCATAAAATGACGTCATGCATATTTAGATTATCCGCCATCTTGGATCATCAATCTGTAATTTTCAAAAGTATTTTTTTTCATGATAAAGCCTGAAATACACTGTAAACATACTAAAGACCTTAATTTAAACCTTTTTTGAAAAAAAATGGAAGTATTGATGAAATTTTTATGAAAATAACCTGTATATACCTGTTCTAATGATATGGTCCGCCATCTTGGATTTTAGCCAATGACGTCATCAAATTAGCATAAATTATGCATATTTAATGATACAATTTACATAAAATTATATTGAAATTTTATTAATATTAGAAACCATGAGTAACTTGACATAAAACCCATAGAATTCTATTGTTAAAACAAAAATTACTAAAATGATGTGTATATACCTCAGTGAACAATTGTAGAAAAGATTATTCGTACGCATTGAAACATTTTAGACTGCCAACAGCGGTCATCAAATGCGTAAAAAAATGTTGCTGGCTCACTGACGGTCTTGGAACTGACAGACATTTACAATGAATAAACCGATTTATCGACATTTCATCATGTTGGACATGTAGTCCGGCCAACAATTTGTTTTCCCCAAAATCAAGCGAAAAAAGTCAATGCGCAATGGATGTCATCCATTTAAATTCCTTGCTGTGGCCTTATAGTTGAGCAGATAATAGGTGTGTGTGTTCTCTATTACATTATATGGATTTAGATGTAGTTTCACACTGGCCTTACAATTAGATTTTTGCATGATTTTTTAATCGAAAGGTAAGTACATGTATTTCAAAGTTATCAAATTATTGGCGAATATTCAATAACAAACTATTAGCAATATATCATCCCGAATGAATGGCCAGATACCTGCGCTTAATATTTGACATAGCTACAGGTATAATTCAAACAATGAGCATAAACCCTTGCTGAAACTGAACCCGTGTCAATTAGAATTATGAGCCAATTTTGTATATTTGACACCTCTGTGGCATGGTGTAAATAAGTTGACTAATTAGGTGATATATGAGAGGGGTGAAGTCTATGTAAGGGGGGCGGGGGGGGGGGTCACTAGCGGTCTCGCACGTGACATCGGCCAACCGACGCCCCAGTATATATCGCACAGTAACTAATCACATACAATATATCATTACAATCAACACGGAAGGGCCAAAGTGTGCGGCGGGAACACAGAGACTAACGCGTAATTAATCGGCGCAACAAAAAATTACGTCACGAGGGTAAAAAGGAAAAAAAATGAAATCGAATTTACTTCATGTTGCGTCTTTAATAAATACAATAAGGAAATAAACATGTCTATTTGTCATGATTGTAAGTCACTTGTCACGTGCAGAAGCTAATATTGCCCTGGGAAAGAAGGCAACGCAGAGTTCCACAATCGCCGGCAATGAAGCTGAGAAGGCTGTGGATGGTAATATCCGTACGTGCGCTAAGGCAGGGTACTCATCGTCGTCACAGTGGTGGAAGGTGGATCTGGCAGACTTCTACAGCGTCAGTCGGGTCAGACTTCTACATAGAGAGCGCCAAACTGGTGAGTTATTTTCTGCAATAAAGTTTATAGCTACATGTATTTGTTAAGGCTAATGTCATTTTTTGCATCAACAACCATATGCCCTATCACTCTCGGCAAATATTATTATCACTTTTTCTCAAGAAAGAAACCGTTTTGAAGAAGGACCCATTGCATTATAGCACTTTATTTCTTTCAAACGTATCCCTTTCATTGTGACGTTTTTAAAGTCACAATGAAGGAGATACGTTTCAAAGAAACAACTTTCATAGAGGTCTAATGTTGTGTTAAACAGGTGTTAAACATCTTGCCAGATGAGTAATCACATGTGGACTTCCAGCCGGTTGCCATTGGAAACTTTATTGACATTCCCTCCATCAAAAATGCGTTATATACATGGGCTAAACAGGAAGACTATCTTTATCAGTTTATCTAATCTATAAGCTAATTAATGTAAGAGCCCTGTTACACACATTGCTTTCGCGCACGTGGCTTAGTTTTGAGCATGCCTAAAACTACGCTGCATACGCTGTTACGCATGTCATACGTAATGAATTCACATGCATCGGCTCCTCGTCGGTGGAGCACAGCATGAGTACGCCATGTTTTCGGGGTTCATGCACTTATGTGCACCTGGTTCTGCACCTCTGGATATGAGCTGCGTACATTGGACGAATATATTGCAGTTGTAGAGCTTAAATACTAGTACCGTCCGTATTGCAATCGGACAGCGCATTGTGCGAATTTGTAACTTATCATTCTTTATTCTTTCTTTATTCAAGACAGTGGTCAGCATAGCAGCAGTACATAAAAAATTATGGACCGCTGAATTGTGCTGACCTTACATAGTAGTACATAAAAATACAACGTGGTTACAAACAAAACATAGATTCACGACAATGAAAATATGTACTACACATAAAAACTAATTCTGCATTTGACTGTTATAAAGTCTGATAGTGTGGTGCAGGAAGGAACTCTGCAGTCTGGAGGTTCTTGCCATGGGAACCCTGAGTCCTCCCGCGTTCCTTAAGGACCTCCCAGTGCTCATCAGCCCCTCCACCAAGTCATGGAGGGGATAGTCTGCGTTCAGCATGGCTTTGAGCAGCTTCACGGCTGCCAGTTCTCGTCGTTCTTTGAGTGTAAGAAGGTTGGGTACCTCCCGTCTTCCACCCAGAGAGATGATCCGTAAAGCACGTCGTTGGACTCTCTCAATAGCCAGCTCCTGTTGTTTGCTGTAGCCAACTAAGAGCACGTGACCGTACTCGAGCACAGGTCCGAACAAGGCTATATACACCTGAGTGAGATCAGAAACACTCATGCATTGCTTTGTGAGGAGTCTGAGATAATGTAGTCGTCGAGACGCTTTAGTCACCATGGAGTGAACCTGCTTACTGAACGTGAGGTCTTTGTCAACAAGAAATCCGAGACCCTTTGCTGCGTTCGAACATAATTATTGAAAATATGTGTCTTTATTATGCTTTAACTTTGGGATAATGCGCCAGTTGCCTATATTTTGTCCGAGAAATGTGTAGTGTACTTAGATCAGTACAACATAGCTTTTGAGAGCAAATGTCAAACCAAGCAAATCAGAAAAAGTGGCCAAACTCAAAAAATCAAATTTTCTCAAAGTTTGGGTGGTGATAAGGCCTTGGTCCAAACCTACAAAATGGGTACGTTTTGGACCCCTTGTCATTTGTTGCCATGGCAACGACCATTTTTGAAAATGACGGATTTTCCCCTTGTGGAGGCTTTAGTGTTGCCCAAAATGGACCATCTTTGGCCTTCTGTATCTTACAAAAAAGTTAATTGCATCTAACATATTCTATTATCCATATTCTATCTAAGAAAATAATATGAAGGTTTGCTCCAATAAGCCTTTTCGCAATTACCAGTGCGCCTGCGCGAAATTTGATGTTCGATGCAGAGATAAAACCGAGAGATAAACAGAACCGCGGACGCCCTTGTACCAAGCACCATTTTGTCTGAATTTCCAGCTTACACACGGCGTTACTGGTGGTGACCCGCCTTGGGCTGAGTTCCAACGATGTTCTGGACCTAGTTTGCCAAAAATATCGCGATATCTTTCTCTTCAAGGGGATTTACGGTAGGTTTTTTTGACGATATCCAAGCTAGCACTACCGCCTGCATGCCCCCCTCCCCATCCTGCACGCCTTCCGTCTTCACGTTTTCGGCTCAATTTTCCAGACCAATCACGATAAAACTAGTTTTAGAACATCTATTTTATTTTTAGAGTGGTTATATGGGTAAAATAGTGTTGAATCTTTTACTGGCATATGTTTTGGACAGTAAGAAATTTCGATAAATAGCATGGGCTTTTGTCTGCACAAAGAGGCCGATATGCGTGACTGTCGTCTTTGTCTCGTGTCACCGCAAGCACATAAAGCTTTCTAACCGCAATCCTCACGACGAATTAACGATTAAAATAACGATGAATGAATAGCACATGCAGTGAGTACACCAATAATTTTAGTAAATATTTAGTGTGGTTTTCGTAGTAGGAATACTAGGATACATGGTGGTGGGGTAGGGTTTTGTGCATGCAAAAATTATGCCAGTGCAGTCAAGACAAATGTTTTGAACTTTTAAGTTTTAAAAATCCATGTAGTATCACTTTTGGTTCAATTTTCCTCTCTTCTTCTTTTTACAGTGTTAGTGTTCATCATGAAGCCGTGTGCAGTAGTGAATTGCAGCAATTCAACATACCATCTAGACAAATGGACATGCCCAAAACATGGTACCAAACTTGGCTGCTGCGCGCGACTGCCCCCCACCATTCCCTACTAAGTAGAAAAGACCTGATGCAAGAAGAAGGTGGAATAAACTAATGAACAAGCTTGATCCCAACACCAAGAAAAACTGGGTAAACAAGCCACATGATAGGGTTTGTTCACGCCACTTTATAGATGGCAAACCCACTGCAGCTCATCCTGACCCCGTCCTACATCTCGGCTACACAGGGCCTTCATCTGACCAGAAGGTAACGCCAAAGCGACCACCTCCATCAAAACGTGTTGCGGTTCCTGACCCTCAAAAAAAGAAGTCACGTACATGTACTAGTATTGATGAAGATGATGTTGTAATGACTCCGGTGGAAAAGACAGAGCATGACCACAGATACACTTACAGATGTGACTGCCGAGAAGAATGTGACTGTCAGGGCTGTATAAGTAAGCAAATACGGATAAACACACTGGAACATAGGGTGGAAGAACTAGAGCATTAAGTCATCTCGCTTAAAACACAACAGAAGGTCTCTTTAAAAAATCATGTGGAAAGAAACAGATGTTTACTGCTGACAGTCTGAAGACTGACAATGATGTAAATCATTGCACAGGATTAAGGTCAAAACAGGCATTTAATGACATGTATCAGTACCTAGAGCCACATGCTAGGAAGATGACCTACTGGAAATGTTCAGATTCAGGAAATGGTACTCCAAAGTCAAAGAAGTCATCTACAAAAAGGAAAATGGAACCTTCAAAAAGCGTGGCTCAAATCGTAGGCTTAATGAGTTCATGATGACACTGATGCGTTTGCGTCTCGGGTTGACTCTAAAGTT